GGAGATACAATGTCCATAACCCTGAAGAGATAAACAGTGTTTTAAACAACATAGCCCACGACATAGAGGTTCAAATTGAGATAGCCGAATTCACTCAATCAGGTCTTGTTCTTCTTCAAGTTCAAAGTCTGGTGATAAGTTATGACAGATACAATCCTACCCGTGCCCGACTGGGTAACAAACAAAAGGGCTTGTATCAATATTAAAAACAATGATGAGTTGTGTTTCAAATATTCTGTTCAATGTGGTTTTTACGAGCTATACAAAAAAAGACCATCCCTGTGATATGTATCATTATAAAAAGTATGTTGATGACAAGTTTATTAAATGGGACAATATAAACTTTCCTGTAGGCAATGATGAGATTGAACAATTTGAAGAACAGAACAAACACATATCGGTCAATGTTTATTATATCAATCCTGATGCCAATAGTAAACAATTTTATTTTACAAAAGAAGCAACAACTCCCAAGCACAGCAAAAGATTGATTTAATAAAGCTGACTGGAGACAATGGCAACTCGCACTATGTTTATATCAAGAACTATAGTAAGTTGATGGGAAGGCAAGCCAACAAAACAGGCAGACCAAAAAGTATCACTGTAGGACGTGCTCACACGGTTTCAAGTCAGAAGAGTTATTAAAACAACACGAAGAACAGGGTTGTCTAGCGGTTGAAGGACAACAAATAGAAATGCCAGAGGTAGGAGCTACCATTGAATTTAAGAACCATTTTAAGAAACTGAAAGCGCCTTATGTCATATATGCAGACTTTGAATGTCTAACAGTACCCATTGATGTTAAAAGCAAATCGACAAAAGCGACAACAACATCATATCAAAATCATCGCCCTTGTGGTTTTATGATTAACGTAGTCAATGCCATCACTGGAAGCAGTGAGCCCTATTTATACAGAGCCGAAGATTGTACGGATAAGTTCGTTGAGAAAATGAATGAAGTCAGAGATGATGTAATAAAGAAAATGAAGGAAGTGAAAGAGATAATCATGACTGAGGACGATAAAACAAACAGATTTTGACACTGCTACTAAGTGTTTCGTTTGTGGAAAGGGCTTTCAAGAAGGAGATAAGAAGGTTCGTGACCATTGTCATTTTACAGGTAAATATAGAGGTTGTGCTCATGATGATTGTAATCTTGCTTTTAGTATGAGATACTACAAAATCCCAGTCTTTCTTCATAACCTGAAAAACTATGACGCTCACTGAATCATCAACAAGGCACACGAACTGGCAAGAATGCTAAAATCGATTGCATTGCACAGAACAGCGAGAAGTTCATAACCTTTGGTTTTAAAAACCTTTGTTCCAAGGACAGTTGTAGCTTCTTATCTTCGTTGGATAAGTTGGTAAAGTTGAGTAAGTATGAAGATGATATAAAAGGCGTGAGAACTGGAAGAACAATTTTAGATACAGTGTTAGAAATCCATATGTTAAAACCGATGAAGATTTGGACTTGTTGACTGATAAGGGGATTTATCCTTATGACTATTTTGATAGCTTTGACAGATTTACTGAAAGAAACTTACCACCAAAAGAAGCTAAGTGAGGAACATGTCAATGACAAAGATTATGAAAGGGCAAAAAAGGCTTGGAAACACTTCGGTATTAGAACATTAGGACATTATCACGATTTGTATTTGAGAACTGATGTTTTATTATTGACTGATGTTTTTGAGAACTTTACAGACTTATGTATGGAATACTACGGTTTGGACCCAGCACACTATTATACGCTTCCTAACTTCGCTTGGGAAGCTATGTTGTTGAAAACAGATGTTGAAATTGAACAGTTACACGATAAAGAAATGTATGAGATGGTTGAAAAGGGAATGAGAGGAGGTATGTGTCAGGTCAGTCATAAACTGGCTGAGGCAAACAATAAGTATATGGATGAAGCCTTCGATGAAACAAGCCGTCAAGTTATATCAATTACTTAGACGCTAACAATCTGTATGGTCTGGCGATGTCTCAAAAATTGCCTTTAAAGAACATCAAATGGACAAAGAAAACACCTAACATTGAAAAGTGGGATGAAAAAGATGAGTATGGTTTCATCCTTGAAGTGGATTTGGAATATCCAGAAACACTACACGACTACCATTCGGACTACCCATTAGCACCTGAAATCATGAATGTCAATGCTAATATGTTGTCCGACTATCAAAAGGAAATCTTCAAAATCTACTATGGAAACAAAGAACCGAAGGACGAGAAAACCAGCAAGTTAATATTAAATTTGAAAGATAAAGAAAAATATGTGGTTCATATCAAGACTTTACAGTATTATCTAAAAATGGGTATGAAACTCACCAAGGTTCATAGGATAATAAAATTTCAACAGAGGGCTTGGTTGAAACCGTGGATTGACTTCAACACTGGTAAGAGGAAAGAAGCGAAGAGCGACTTCGAGAAAGACCTGTTCAAATGAATGAATAACGTGGTGTATGGAAAAACTATGGAAGACAAGAGAAAACATATGGATTTTCAACTGGTAGACAATGATGTTAGGTATGAAAAATGTGTGAATAATCCAACATTGAAAAATAGATTTATCATAAATGAAAATCTGGTGGGAGTGGAGAAAACTAAAGCGAAACTGAAATTGGATAAACCCATATTCTTAGGAATGACAATATTGGATTTGAGTAAATTACATATGTATGAGTTTTACTATGGTGTGTTCAAAAAGAAACACAACGAAAATATCAAACAAATACAGATACTGACAGCTATGTAATCCAAACCTTCACTGATGATGTCTACAAGGATTTTCAAGGTATCAAGCAACATATGGATTTTAGCGATTGTCGGGTTGAAGCCTAAATCCTATGCTTTCACAATCCACGGCGAGGATGAGGAACACAAGAAATCAAAAGGCGTCGTCAAGCACAAGGTGAAGAAGGAACTGACCTATCAGAACTACCACGAAGCACTGCATCACAACAAATCACCTGGAGATTGCATTGCCTACAGCGAAGTGTCTCGAAATAAGAGTGAGTGAGTGAGTGAGTGAGTGAGTGAGTGAGTGAGTGAGTGAGTGAGTGAGTGAGTGAGTGAGTGAGTGAGTGAGTGAGTGAGTGAGTGAGTGAGTGAGTGAGTGAGTGAGTGAGTGAGTGAGTGAGTGAGTGAGTGAGCGAGTGAGTGAGTGTGTGTGTGTGTTGAGTTGATGTCAGTGTGTGTTGTGACGTTGCAATGGGAAAGGTACTTACAACTGGCATGTTTTGGAGGCGCGGGCATTCTGCATGCAGATTGATTAGTCGTTGAAAACATGACATCCTGGTTCGACCGACACTTGCAGGCGCGCTTTTTCGAATGGCTCTCGCTGTTCTGTCGCCGCTCAGGGCTGCCCCGCCGCGGCCTTGCATCTTTTGCAAGTCCACGATGGGAGCCTGCTTCGCATGTACTTCCCGCCCTGGGAGCGCTCTTGACCACAGGGGCAGGGAGGATATTGGCACTTCGCGCAGATGTATGGCTTCTGCCTCGGCTCCAGCGGCCTTTCGTTACACGCTTATGGGCCTGCTTCCTTCCGCAAACGTGCCTCGCGCAAGTTGCCCCGTGCTTCGAACAGATTGCAGTAAACTGAGGCTGCCGGCGCGGCCGGTCCGTCAGCAACGTAAATCCGGCCGCGGCCTGAACGGCTGTGTCGGATCCTCCCCCTTGGTCCTTTGGAGCAAGGCTCTAGAGCGAAGCTCTATGGGGCTGCCGCATGGTGCCGCCGACCCTGCGCATGCCGACGATGCGGCCGGGGGTCCGTGAAAAGGAAAGTGATGAGCATTTTGCGCTGCGCCCGCCCTACTAAGGGGCGAAGGATTGGGGCGTGTCTGGGCGAGAATGCCGCGGATTTTTGCGCTTGCTTCTGGGGGTGCGCTTTCTGGCACGTCTGGGGCCGGCTTTCAATCTTCAGGCTTGGGCTTGTGGGTCTGCAGGCCCGTGCCGGTGATGCAGGGGATGCTGGGGATGCCGGCCTTTGTTGATGAAATCTCAAAGTCTTAAAGTCTGAGAATATTAGAATCACAAAATCGTACAATTTTACAATCTTAGACCACTTTTATCCTTTAAATCCTCGAATTTTAGAATCTTGCGCGCTTAACCTTGCAAAAACACCCATAAACTAGTACAATCTTAAAATCTTAAAAGCTTAATTTCTTACAATCTAAAAAGCTGCAAACCTGCAGGAACTGAACATAGTCGAATCTTAAGATCTTAAAATTGTCAGATCTTTAAACTTTAACATCTTAAAAACTTGAAACTTAGAATTACAACCTTACACCCTGGAAGCCTTAAAATCTTCAAGCCGTAGAATGCTTATTCTCTTTACATCTTATGTGGAATTCAGCGTCGCGCTGCTGCCGCGGCCGGTTGTGCGCAAGCACCGTAAATCCGGCTACGCCTCCTGGGGTAGCGTGGCCTAAATCCGGCACCTCTGCATCACCAGCTCGGGCTTGCGGTTTTGCTTGCCTGTGGGAAATGCTTGCAAAACATCGCGTATATGCGCGCGACCCCATGTCAGCCTTCTGGGTTGGGTCCGGGCTAGGGCCCAGAAAGCTGGCATCCCCGGCATCATCTGGGGTTGGGGTGGGCAACATGAATGACCTAACCAGCCATATCATAGCACAGGATACGTTTCTCATACAAGAAACATGACATGACATGGTATAACTTCAAAGAGGCGTAGCCGGCTAGAGGCCGCAGGCCCAGAAATAATTAAAATAAGTACAACAAAAGGCCGTAGCCTGCTCAAGCCACAATGGCTGACAATCAAAAACGAGCAGCTGGTTTCTACCTGTGCATGGACCCTACCCAACCAACCATGCTCCTGCACCCTGTCAAGGGAGCAAATCAAGAAATGGCAACGCGTGGCGAAGCTCAGCGTGCGCATATATGGGAACAAGTGAGAACTTGCTTCTTTAAACAAGCGTTTGGGAAGAGTCAAGTCGAGCATCCATGCAGTTTTTTGCGAGCGCGCGAAGGGGCCGCGCCTGTTTAGCTCCCGCGCAGTCTCTCGGAATCTCCGCGGCTTGGCCTGACTCAAACGGGACGATAGGCCACTCACCCCAGCCGGAACTTCCTTCTCCTTCTTCTCAAACTCCTTCTCCTGCTCCTCCTTCTCTTTCTCTTTAACATCCTCCTCCTCCCAAAGCTCAAAGCTCAAAGCAAGCCCCAAGCGCACCATCGGGCCTGAACCTTCTCTTCGTCCTCAGGTCAATCAGCAACCAAGCTGTTACCCGACCCCCGACCCCAACATGTATGTCCTGGGAAGCTTCGCCTTTTAGAACGCCGTCAGGCCCTGCATCCCAGAAATCGGAACTCGGATGAATCTGGGCATGGCCCAGCCTTTGGCCCAAGACACCTCGTTCAGGATCAACTTAATCGCCTCAACCAACCGACTGGCAGCAGTTTCCAAAGCGACGGCAAGCGCACCTCGTCCTGCTGCTCCTGTGCACTGCTGCAGCCACACACACACGCACTACCTTGCTCTCGTGCTTGAACTCCTTGCTACCGATCAGCTTGATTTCCCGGTTTTTGCTGCCAGGAGCCATCTCCTCAGCTTTCTGCACCTGTCGGTCTCCATGGTCTCACAGGCTCGCAAGGCGCAGCCCACGCCTTGATGTCTGCACCCGACTTTTCCATCACCTCGCAACTTGCGGCTGGAGCGCCTGCTTCCCAAATCAATTGAACAGGCCTCGCGAACGGTTTCACCTCCTCGACCAATGACCTGCGTGAACAAACTGTCGCAGACCGTTTGACCATGGGCCAAACATGCCATTGCTGCCCGCCCTGCTTCGCGATCCCTGACCCAAATCCTCAGGCAAGCACTGCCAGCGTTTGCAAAGTGCGGCTGGGGGCTGGACTTGGCAGGAGATGGAAGTTCTGACTCAGTTTCAGCACGCTGCCTGAGACATTCCATCATCGCTTCGCTCACACTTGCACTTGCACATGCTCCGCTGGGGACACAGCTTTGGCCTGGGCTCATCTTTCAGCACCTATGCTTTCCAAATCGTTGCTTGGCTCTTGCGCATTGCCCGTTTCTGTCCGGGAGGCAGTTCCGTCTGCGTCCTTGGCAAAGTGCACCTCTGCTAGGAGCAGCTCGACAGCTCTGTCCTGGCTCCAGCCTTGATTTCCCACTTGCACTCCCCCGCATGCCCGTATGCCCGTGCTCCTGTGTTCCCCCTCTTTTTCCGGCCACCGTGTTCCCGCTGCGTTCCCTTGCGCTCCCCCGTGGTTCTTGTCAGCGAAGCGTTGTCAGCACATGGGCGTGCGCTCATGCGTGAAGCCTCGGCTTGTTCGCTGCCACAAAAGCTTTCATTGTTGGCGCGCGCGCGCGCGCGTTCACTGCCTGCGCGCAAGAACTGGTGTGTTCAATGCCCAGCAGCTCGCGGGGCCTTATGCTTCTTGCCTGCTTGCGGCGCTCTGGTTGCTTAGGCTCTTGATCGCGGCTGCGGCTGCGGAGGCGAATGTCTGCTGCAAGTGTGGGAAGCATGGGTTGCAAATAGTGAGTACAGGTCTCACAGCTCCCGCTTCGTTCGCGCTGCCCTGCTGTGGCCCCACGCCCCTTCTGTTCACACTGCGCCCTTCCTCACCCCTCTCTCACGCTGTCTCTCCGCTCATCTCTGTCTGCTCTCCTGCTCGTCCTTCTTCCCAAAGATCTCCACCTTTCCCTGGGCCTCACTGGTTCAGGCTTGCCAAAGCGCCGGGTCTGAGATAAATTAGACAAATTAGAACCGCCCAGCCCACCAAGACGAGAGCCCAAGCAAAAAGTAACAGCATGTTGCCCGAGCTGCGGCACGCCTTGAGTTCTTGTTCTCTACAGCCTAAATTCCAAGCCAAGACCAACACGCGAGCCGTGCACCAAGTTATCGAAGACTCTGCCAATTTTTCGGTGTTGCCTCCCGCTCGCACAGCTGACACACGCACGCGAATACACCCGTGTATATGAGCCGGTTGCTGAAGCGCAGGACTAGATATTTGGGCGGAAGCATCAAGACCGCCATCTTGAGGCTTGGGCGGGTGTTCACCATCTTACCCAATTTCGCAGCTGCAGTTCCAATGGCTTGTTATTGCCCACACTTGAGAAGCGTTTGCGTGTCGAAGTGGAACTGACCAGCGGGCACAAAGGTCATATCCGAACAAACAAAACAAACAAACAAACAAACAAACAAACAAACAAACAAACAAGAACACACACACACAAAGACACACACAAAGACACACACAGCGCCCACACACCTCGCAGCTGACATGACACTGGCCACGCCTTGTCGAGCTCCACTTTGGCTCCTGAGTCCTGGTAAACAAAGCCAGGAGCAAAAGCCCAAGCTGCAAAAAATAGTCAAGGCTGGTCCCTCTCGATGAGTCTAACCGTCTCCCCCTTCCTGGCCATCCAAACATGTACGTCTCAGCAAAAAAACATGTCACTGTGTGTGGGTGCTAAACAAACCAAACCACGCAGCCAGCGTGTGGCAAGCGGACTTTGGCACGCGAAGGCGGTTGACGGCGCGCGGCAGTTGAGATTTGCCTTCTTGGGCCAGGTCGCGCCCGACTCACTTGACGCGGGGCAATACAAAACGTCGCGACCTGCAACATGTCCAATACAAAAGGCTTGTTCAAATGACCAACCTCGAAGGCCAAGCAGCGCAGCAAGCCGTCGCCTGAAAACCTGCGGGTCAAGAGGTACAGTAGTGACTTAATGACCGTTTCACAAACAAAACAAAATCCTGACAGTCAGCACACACGCCTCAGCCAAAACTAGGCAGCTCTACACCCCAAGCTTGACATCGTGCAAAAGTTGCCTGTGAGCGGACGACGCGTCCCGCGAGCAAAAAAGTTCAAACACAACCAAAGAACGCGCGTTTTTGACCAAGACTGGCGATGGTCAGAATGAGCTAGACATGATCTGGCTGTCTGCACGTCATGTCGCAAACACATGCTGGACACACGCCGGGCATGCGCCATAATCTTGTTTGAACCACGCTAGTGCCATGCCAGGAGATATTGTGTTGCAAGTGTGCCAGAAACGTGTCGAACACTTGCTGCCAACATGCCAAAACGCACATGAGACCCCTGAGAAGACCGAAAGTCGGGCTGAAAGCCGGGGCTCGAGAGTCGGGCCCGGAGACCAAAAGTCCGGGGGTGGGGAGCCGGGGGACGAGGTCGAAGCCAGGCAGTGATCCGGCCCCGAGACTGATCAACCCGGGTCGACCATTTCCAAAGAGATGGAAAACATGATTCCCGTGATGAATTGCAGTAACCAAGGAGGTTTTTTCGACAAGCGGAAACTGAAGACAAGCCACATCAGGCTTCCGTGACATCATGGAAATCAACAAGACTGAAGAGGAAAACGGTGAACACTTTATCTGCAGAATGCCAGAGTTTGATTCATGGAGTTGGACACGTGCACTGGCACAGATTGTTGCCTCTTGAAGTCATGACAAGAGGACGGCAGTCGATATCCGCCGACAACAAGGCGGCGTGTTGGGACCGGTCCCAGGACCGGTTTTGGCTGACTGCAGGACCTGTGCTCCCAGGGACCATCCTTGATTCCAATCACTTCCAGTTGCATCCCACGCCGGTCCCCTCTGCAGGAGGCTGGGACGGGAGGCGCAGGGTCGGCGGATTTTCAGTTCCTTCAAATCCCCTTTCTACATTTCGCCCCCCCCCCCCGCAATAGTCTGAAACCGTGCCCCTGGGGAGGGGTAAGGAGAGGGGTAACAGGTAAAGAGGTAAGCAGCACCAGTCCCAGGACCGGTCCTGGCTGGTCCCAGGACCGGTCCTAGTCCTAGGACCAGTGTGGGACCGGTCCCAGTACTGGTCCTGGGACCAGTCTGGTCCTGGGACTGGTCCCGGCCAGGACCGCTTTCAGGACTGGTCCGGTCCGCTGCAGAAACCCGGTGCCACCTCAAACAGCTCCAGACACCTGTTTTTTCAGTGTCGCTGTTTCCGGACTGGCACCCGTGTTTCAGGACCGGACAGGGTCCCAGGTCCCAGTCCCTCCCTGCGACCGGTTGAGGGGCACCGACGGCCTTGTTTCTAGGACCAGCTCAACGTGACTTGGGCGCGAGCCGGCCTGTGCGGTCATTGACGGACGAGCTGCCGCCTGTCTGACTTTTCCGCTAATCCTTGTGGTAGTAGAGGATCCCTGGATCTACTGCCGGCGACCGGTCCAGGGCCACTAGGGCCACTGTCGCCGGGGCAGTTTCGGGAGGGCCAGTTTCAGGGCGACCCGGGACAGGCGACTGCTCCCGGGCCAACTCGAAGTGACTTGGGCGCAAGCCGGCCCAAGCGGCAATTAACGGACTAGCTGCCATATTTCTGACTCCGTTAATCCTTGTTTGTGGTCGTAGAAAATCTTATAAGTGGTCCCTGGGTTTGCGGACGTGTTTCAGGACCGGTCCTTGTGACTTTTCCCTTAATGCGCTGAGGGTCGGCGGCAGCAGGCGGGAGCCTGGTTAATATTTTCTACATTTTTCTATCAACCAATGAAAAACACATTGAAAAACCATCATCACCCCCCATCAGTAGTGGAGGGCCACGCCTAGCAATGAATTGCTTTCATCCATACACCCCACCCTACAACTTGTTCCATCTTCCATCTTCTACCCTTATTCGTTTTCATCATTTTTCTACATTCCTTTCTGTCCATCTCATCCGTTTTTTCTCATCATTTTTCTAAAATGTTCGCCATCCTTTTCTCCTTCCTCCTCGCCTCATTCATTTCACCAACTACCCTTCAAAATATCATTTCCTCAATCTCCTCACCTCATCCATTTCAAAAAAATAAATTTGCAAAATATATTGCAAAAAATATGTGTCATCAAAAAACAATTCGAACTGTCTAAAAACGATTTGTCCATTTCTCGGACAAAAAATAGAACAGCAACAACATCACTCCCCTCCTTCGTTTCATCACTTTTATCTATTTTAATAGGCGTGGTCCTCCTTGTAGGATTTTAGTGGGTTTATGTTGGGTTTCTGGGGCAACCGTCGGCTCCGCCCGTGCTTCCTGACGAAGCGCTACATCTTTGGACGGTGCGCCTTGCATGATTACAAGAGCTTTTGAGCTTGCATTCAAGATTGACGCTGAGTGAAGGAGAGTGCCACGAACAACTGGCATGAAACATTTACCTTGCTCAAGTGCCATTCTTGGAGCATTGACTGATAGTTGGTGTCAGCCTTGAAGCCATGCTTTTTTTCCTGCGGATGGATGGAGGGCTTGCCACCATTGAGGTGGCAGGTTCAAGGCTGTCGCTTGAGGACTTGTGGCTCAATGAGCCACGCAAGCCGTCGGTTGCACAGCTGATGACTTTGAGCTTGGATGCGCTGGAGAAGTTCACGTGGCAGATTAGCTACAAGGTGAAGAATGCAACGGCTAAGGGTAAGCAGAGCTTGGCAGAGTTTCTCTTCGCCCACTGGGACACCTACAGCCGTGCTTCCGTCGCAAGCTACCGCCCGAACTGCCCCTATGCAGTCAAGGGAGGTAAGCTCTTTTTCCTTGAGAATGCCAATGGCATGATGCCACGGCTTGTCAAGCCCGGGGAGATTCTGGTAGCCACCTTGATCAAGAAAGAGCTTGACCATTGCATCTACTACACCTTCGGTTTCCTTGATGCGACCGTGAAGACCAAGGAGAAGATGAAAGCCCTTGAGAACTACTATGAGCACTACCTGAACAACCAAGCTGCGAATCAGCTTGCCAATGCGCCCTTGTCTGAAGACGAGCGCCCAACTGACACTGAGCCTTTGGCTGAAAGCTACGGCGAAGTGTCAGGTGATGATGAGCCACATGTCTCAGACGACGAAGACGACAATGCAGTTGGCACTGTCAAGGAGCTCTATGGCATGATTGTCTCCATGGACTGGGCGCACTACATGGTGTCCCCGCTGGACTTCATGGACAGCCTTGAACGCCTTGATGTCCATGCCATTGACGACAAGTGGCTCTTTGCTATGCCCGTGGACTTTGACAACATGACGGTCTATGATGTAAGGTTGGAAATGTTCCACAAGCTCAAGCGCCCCCTTGGCGAGGAGTCCCTTTCTATGAACGGCTTTTTCTTGAGTGCCTCCCGCGTTGGAATCAAGGCTATCCCCGATGATGAGATGCTTGGCGCGTCCAAGGTCTTTCTTTGCCTCAAGCTTCTTGGCGGTGGAAGTGGCAAGCCAGTGCGCAAGACCATCGAGAAGGAGAAAACGACGGTTGCCGACAAGCCCCGGCTTGTAAGATTGAGAGTGGCTACACCATGGCTTGTAAGATTGACGACAGTACGAGCTACGACCTGAGGAAGGGCATGACAGAGCTTGACATCCCCTTGCTGGAGTTCCTTGAGAAGGACAAATCCACGTGTGCAATCAAAGTCCGAGACATCTACAAGCATCTCCTGCCGTCCCTCCAGTTGGAAAAGATGATGCGGAAGGCTACATCAGCCATGAATGCCCTGAAAGACCTTGTTGAGCATGATGTGTCCGTCAACTACCACCAGGAGAACGACAAGGAGACCATGCAGAGCATTCGTGAGATGGCTGGTAAAGTCCTTGCCGTCAAGGAGTATCTGGCACAGAGCAACGCGGATACCAACATGAAGGCATGAGCATTTAGAATGCCGACCATGCCAATATGCTATGTGGCGCATGGCATCTGAAGTCAAAAATAAAACCACAAAACCAGATGCTACCATGCACATATGCACATGCTACCATGCACATAGCACATGCTACCATGCACATATCCACATGCCCTTTGTGCATTGCCATTGCCACAGAAAGCATCATAGGTTCGCTGTTGCGAGAAACCTCAGTGTCGCATGTGCAGAGTGGTGCTGAAAAAGGGCATTGGGCATGCGTCTCCCGTTTTTCCCAAGGGGGTATGTGAGCGTTTTACAATTTTTCATGAGACATCCACCGCCAGGTTGAGGAGCGAGCACGGCAAGCTTGGATGCGCCCCTTTTGACTGGGGGGGTGGTGGGTGGGCGGGCTTGAGTTTTGGGTTTGTTGGTGGGTCGCTGTCGTGTTGTGGTTCTGGGTCGTGTTTCGTGTCCCCCTCCCCTCCCCCCTCCCTCCGCCCCACATCTTTGTCCGCGCAGGTATCTTCTTCGTCTTCTACCTCTTCAGGTCAGGAGCCCGTGCGGAGCCTTCTGGTGTCGGGTGGACGGTGTTTTCTAAATTTGATAAACTATGGATATTCCCCTTAAAAACACTATTTTCAAAATTTTAGAATTCCCATTTTTTACTGTATTGTCGTTGGATGAACCTAGAAATTTCAAGTTTCAAGCCCAACCCCAAACAAACTCACTAAGATTTCACAAATTAATTCGCTAAATATTTTGTATAAATATGCCTGCTTATGTATTATTGGATTGTCTCCCCATTTTTCCTTAGT